ATTTTTACAACGTCATTGTTTTTACTCCCTGCGAGCATACATTGACACTGTCACTGGTATCGATGCGCTATAAAACTGAATAGTACTGTCTAATTTTGTTTGTATTAGATGTGTGTCTTTATGTTATTTATTAATTTGATTTTATTGCACTTGAATATCACTTCTGACTTGCTACAATTGTACGTCCCTTTTGTACGAAACGTAGTCAATAAATGAATCTATCTATCTATCTATACCATGTATCTGTTTAAACTTCCCCAACCATCCTTCCGAAGCCTTGAAATCGACAATGCCAAGCCGTTCAGCAAACTTTTCTGCTTTTAGTTTTACGATAGGTCCAGAGCGTTTTAAGACGTTGCTGTTGGAACCACTTTTTTGGCTTTCTTAGTTTTTTACTAGAACTGCCTGCCGCTTCAGCCTGAATGCTTTTTTCTTTGCACTTGCAAATCGTGGATACAGCCAACGGTGTAAGTCCGTATCGACGTCCCACATCACTTTTCTTTTCTCCCCGTTCTATCTCCCGAATTAAAGCAACTTTATCATCCGGAGATAAAATTTTTCGCTTATTCGCCATGCTCGCCGTATTCACTAAGTCAAATTAGAACTGATTGAAACAATGCATTAACATAATCGCTTATTGGCGTAAGGAATTCTGTTAATTACAAGTGGGCCTACAGTGAGAAATTCGTTATACAGAGTGGATTAATACATAGTTTTGTATGGAAACTTAATGGTACAATAAATTTTGTTCGTAATACAGAGTTTTACATTATACAGAGTTTCGCTATAGGAAGTTTTCACTGCAGATATTATTATTAAATTATGATAGATAACACTCTGTTGCAAAAGGAACGTATGAGATTAAGCTATGAAAACGTACCACTTAAACGTCAAAAAAAAAGATTTAGAAAAATAAAAATATTTTAAGGCTAAGGCTAACGCTCGTGCCTAACTGACTTCACGAATAACGTTTGCAACAAATTCTTGTGGAATGGCATCAAATTCTTCCCGTGCAACTCGCAGATCATGAAGGCTGTCGGCTGGTAATGCAGGTCGGCGACCAATTTGATTAAGATCATACTAATAAGTAATAATAATAAACATTAATACACCATCACAAAAACTCTCAGTGACAGCCTTCATGATCTACTAATTGCAATTCCGCAAGAATGTGATATCATTCCATTCCAGAATTTGTTACAAATCTTATTGATGAAGACAGTTTCGCACGACTCTTAGCCTGAGTCTTAATGTTCGCTTTGAAACGGCGTATTTCTAATGAAACCATAGATAAACAAAACGTTCAGAAAATAATTAGGATTCCAGTTGGCAACAGACTCTACCATTGTTGCTCAAATTGAAATCTGAATAAAAATATCTGATGTAGGATCGTTACTGAATTTTCAACTATAGTCGATCCTGATAAACGTAAAGCACGAATTATTTGCACCTCGTTTAACAATCAAACCAACCTTCGCAAAAAAATGTTCTTCGATCTCGGATAAGAGCAAAAAATCGACGGCGCCCGCCGCTGGATTAATAAAACCCGATTTGCGGCATTTACTGAGGTCGTAATCGATGTAAAATCCAATTTTTATCAAATTTCCTCTCTTTGTTTTTCCACGCGGAGCCCGACGATCAATCCGGGGGAACTTTAATGAGATGCCGCGAATCACATCTCGTCGTATACCTATCGCGACGCAGATAAACAACGATTTATTTCTCTAAATATAGATCGGGGCCGTTCGAACGACTATTTGCATATCGCGAAAGCCGCATCTACCGATAATTGACATAAAAATCGCGGGAAAAATAACGAAACGCACAACGTTTTCGCTACGCAATTACCGCGGCACTGTTGCCAAATCGGAAGAAATAACCGGCATTACAAAATCTGGTTTTTGTTGCATAGGATACGAATCTGGCATAAAAAATGGGGGTCCGGTTAAGATTTCAAACTTGTACCCTCCCCATCGCGAGTCGGTTAGGATGGGAGTCAGGTTTGGTGTCAGAATAGTTCTTATTATTTGTTTTTTGGTTGTGTAATTCTAATATATTCCCGCGTTTCTATATTTTCGTAAACCTGAATAATATCAGCTCTGCTTATACGCGTGACCGCGTGCGACACACCCCAAATAGCACAAGGACGTCCGTAAAATGTTCTCAGGATATCTGACGGGACATAGCGGGATATACTGTTTCAGCTAAGGGACATCCTTAAGACGCCTCAAAGATATACGATGTTACTACAATAACTGGAACGTCCACAGTATATCAGATACGTATGTCGTATATCCAGTTATACTAGTTGAGACGTCGTTGGTTTATCCGACTGTGAGGATATAGGGTCTTATAGCGATGTAAGTAGTGAATAAGTACAATATAGGCTTCCCCCACTCCTCTCCCTTTTGTGGGCGTGTCCTCCTTCCCCACGACTCTCTAGCTCCTCCCCCTTTACCCATAATCCCTTGAAACTGGCTCCCATTGGATAAGCAACCAGAAATGCGGTTTAATCAATCTCCCCACCTCTAGTTTGCGATGGCGGCGAAGCCAATCAGAGCCCAGATATTTTCCCACCCCTAAGAAAAGCAATGGCGTCAATGAGACTTGATCATATTGTTCGCGTGACCATCTGCACCCTCTAGCGGTTCGAATGTAAACTAGTGTCCCCTCTTGGAATAAGATTTTCTTTAATAAGGTAACCCCACCTAGTGAATATTGACCAAAACATTTATTTTAAAAACATATACTTCTGCGAATGTGTACCCTCGCGGGTACAAACTGTACTTTTATTGCGCACAAAGGACAGGGGAAATAAAGACGAAAAGTGTTGGATTTCTTTTCTCGGAACTGGAAGCTGGCAGGCACCATCAATAATATCTGCAAAACAAAAACCTGGTTAAAATTTTCATTAATAAAGTAGGATATTAGAAACCATATACCTTTTTAATTAATAAGCCATCTACCGTGCGTTAACTTCATACATATTTCCGCATGCTTCTGTTTTAAGGTATCGTGAAATATTTGACTATTTATCTGGGAAAAGTTCATATGTCGAAAATATTATGTGTATGTGGCCGTGGTAGGCTTTCTTTACTATTATAATTTTATTTTTATTATTTAATATTTACAAAATTAATTTGTCTATCTTATTGATGATTTTGATTTTCTTTGCTATTTTTATTATTTGTTTTTATTATTTAATATTTTCAAAATTAATTTAATTTATCTATCTTATTGATGATTTTAAGATATCGCAGTCAACTTTACTATTTCATCAATTTCTTTTATTTATTGCTGATCTTTGAGGATAGTGTACATACTTTTTTTCGTAACTTATCTGTATCTACCCTTTAATTTCCTATCAAGCCATAAAGCAAACTCGAAAGGCATCTTAACTAAAAAGTCATATACTTTAAAGCTGCTGCGACTACTACATGAAAGTGTGTTTCTATGCAATCTCAACAATAATGAAATCTGGACGCTTATATTAAATACTGTAATACTCTTCTCTGCTAACGCTCTAGGAGACGCTATTTGAACCCTGTTCAAAGAAAAACTTCTACATCCCAAATAACCCCTCTGAACCACACTTAAGCGCATCACTCTTTCACTGTCTTGCAGCCTTCAGATTAATATTCCGTACTAACTACGTATGCCATACACGAAACGTTCTCTTTTCTAATTTTTTTCTATGCGCTACATTAACGAACAGGATCTAAACTTTTCTGTCTGTGTATTTTGTTAGCCACCTTAAAAAAATTTAAAAAAAGGTATGCGAACCTAGAGGATATTTTCCATATTTTTCACAAATGGTGACAACAATTAATGCAAGTATTATTTTTAATAATAATCCATCTTTCGCTATGACACGAAAACATCGACTTTTTAATTCTAACTTTTCTCATAGAGCTTCCCTTTAGTCTCTATCTGTTCTTTAACTAAATCCCCACCTTTTTGAAAAACCAACCTCTAAAAATAGTTAATTTTCTCTAATTTAAATTTGTACGTTTTCCGCAATATGTGTGAATATTTTCGCTAGAGCATTTAGTTACTTAGTACATGTCCTAATCAATATTTTAAAAATATAATTCTAATGATACGTGTTTACGATTTGAAGATAACGAAACATTCCCCAGTTTCATAAATGAGAGCTCACTGCCAAACTACCAAACATCACAGTACAAACTACCGTACTACGCCCCCCTGGACAAAATCAGGTCAGTCAGCGTCATTAATTCTACCTGCGTTAACGAATAGCGTATTGTTAATTATGGTTTAATACGCAGAAAATTTAAGTAACAAATAATTGCAATGAAACTCACTAACATCATAAATTATTAAAAAAAAAATTAGAACAGTTGGAATTTACTGGAGTAACCAATTTGGCACTAAAAATGGAAATTTTCGATACTCTACTAGGTGCCTACAATAAATTTTACTATTATTTTTAATGCAGAGACACAACGATTTTGTAGTTTTGAATTTGATCAGGGGTATATGACCATAGTTTACGCCGACTCTAAAAGGCATGCAGTCTATTGTTTTTGAACGCCCAATTTTGTGTATTATGTTCAAAACAGAGACTCTCTGGGCTTACGACTACAGCTACCAGCTACTACTTTCAATAATATTAACACAAAAAAACTAGGTGGCATTTCTATAATACGTGCAAAGTTTATGTGAAACTGACTGGAAGACAGAGTAATGCACCAATATGTTACTAAACATATTTCGATAGAATTCCGTAAGAGCTTACCTCCAAGTTTCCTCATTTAGTCAGTCAAAGCATCAAATGGGAAATTCCAATCCAACATATGTAGTGGTGGAAATATATCAATCCCCTACGTTACCGATGGTACCCGACTGAAGCTTCTGCGTCTTCTTTACCCCACATGCCTACTTAAAAAGATACTGGTCTAAGTCTCAATATTCCTGTTAAAAAAAAAGAGAGGTTCTATATTGCCATAAATATGTGTTTTCAAAATTTTACCTGAATGGTTCGTGATTCCTTATATATGCAGTGTTGGCAGCAATGTGGCGACGACTACGCTGAAACTTTCCATATCTCGTGTCCCCATGACTGGTCTGTTTCATATATCAAACCTCACCTCGCACGGGTTTGAACCTCCTTTTAAAAAAAAAAACAGGCAAGACTTATACTTATATCAAAGTAATACGAGGAACTTATATTTTGTGCCAAAACTTATTTCATCACCTCCAAAGGGGAGTAGGGGTTTCTAAAGTATGGTAGGTACATCTCTTTCATTTTTTAATTAAAAAAGTGACACAATTACGCGACGTAACTCGATCCGGATCGTTAACGCGTCTCAAGATGGGGGTTTAGAGATGCTGAGGTCATTAAATTGATTCACTATTACCAGTACACACTGAAACCCCTTATTTCCAAAATAAAAAAATTGTTAACTGTTAACACAACAAAAAAAACTATTTTCTCACCAATTATATTTCTGGGTCGTTTTCAGAATTTGTCCAACGTAGAATCCCAAGAGGATAGGGCCGCAATTTCGAAAAATGTTCATGTCTCCCCACTATGCATTTGTACAAGAAGCAGGGCCGGATTAACAGCAATTATATTCTTGTCAGTCAACATACAGCCGCCGATTGAATTCTCGGATTCTGCTTTACTAGTTGCCATGGTCTGTCAAATATGTTACTTAAAAATTGTATATTTTTTTTTACAAATAATATACCTTTCCTAAAATAATTCCGCCTTTGTCAAGTGGGACACGGGCACGTCTGTCCGCTTTGAAAAGCGCAGGCGTATGTATCTTCCAAAATGATCCAAGCAGGCCCGGATTGCCAGCAAATACACAACTCCCCGATTCAATTCTGAGATGTTGCTTCACGAGTTACCATGATCTGTCAAATATTTTAATTAAAAAAAAATCTATTATTTAGCAACAATATACCTTTTTAAAATAATTTCGTCTTTTTTCAAGTTCAACAGGACACGTGTGTTCGTTTCAGTTGGACAAGGGCACGTCTGTCCGCTTTGAAAAGCGCGGCGTATGTATCTTCCAAAATGATCCAAATTGTTAACCTTTTTTTGATTCCTCGTTCCCCGATTCAATTCTGAGATGTTGCTTCACGAGTTACCATGATCTGTCAAATATTTTAATTAAAAAAAAATCTATTATTTAGCAACAATATACCTTTTTAAAAATAATTTCGTCTTTTTTCAAGTTCAACAGGACACGTGTGTTCGTTTCGAAAGGTTTCGTAGTCTGTAGCTCTGTCGAATTCTCCAAAATTCGTTAAACCTTCAGATATTTTCAAAATTTGTCCAACGCAGACTTCCACTCACGCAGTCTCGAAAACTTTCTGGTCTCCCCGCCATGCATTTGTACACGAAGCCGTTCTGGACTATCAGCAAACAGCACATCCGTCATTTTTCTTCTCGGATTCCGCTTGACGAGTTACATCGATCTGTCAAATATTTAATGTAAAACAATCTTATCTATTACTTTTACCCAATATTAAGTACCTATTCAAAATTAGTAGCGCCTTTTCGAGTTCGAAAGGTTTCGTAGCCTATAGCCCTGCCGAAATGGCATTGCATTTGTACACGAAGCAGGGTCGGATTGTAAGCAAACAGCACCCCCGGTCACTTTTCTTCTCGGATTCTGCTTGACGAGTTACATCGATCTGTGGAATATTTAGCGAAAAAAAAAATTATCTATTACTTTTACCAAAAATGAAGTACCTTTTTTCTTTAAAACAGTTCGTCCTTTTCGAGTTTGAAAGGTTTCGTAGCCTATAGCCCTGCCGAAATGTCATTGCATTTGTACACGAAGCAGGGTCGGATTGTCAGCAAACACCACAAGCGTCACTTTTCTTCTCGGTTTCTGCTTGACGAATTACATTGATCGGTCAAATATTTAATATAAAAAATATCTATTTTACCAAAAATACGTACTCTTCTAAGATAAATTAGCTCTTTTCGAGTTTAAGAGGGCACGTATGTCAACTGTAGGATGTTTTATTTTTATATTTTCCAGTGTCTATAAATTAATAAACAACAGAAGCTTCCGAATACAAAAATTTCAACATGAGTTTTTTTTTCTTGAAACTTAAAAGTTCTAACCCCTAAAACCATATTTTTAATACGCTGGCGGACGTATAACAATCCCCAAAAATTACCATATTTAAATTGTTACTATTGACATATTTCTATTCCGAACTGAACTCAATACATGCAAAAAAAAACTAGCGAATGTTATTTATTATCTCCGATGGGTGGATGATTGAGAAACGTTTAAATAAATCTACCTTTCTGTCTCTGTTTTTCTATATAGGTCACTCATTCTCTCTATCTGTTACTTTCCACAATCCGAATTTACACTAGGCCCCCCAAAAATCTTGTAAAATTTTATCTGCTTAACTTCTTCGCGTTGTTCATATGGCTGAATTTTTTGGGAGATATATCGTGCGTTATTTGTATTAAAATTCTGTTTCCTTTTTACCTACTTCAAAAACGTAAGCGAGCATTTTTGGTTGTTTTATTAAACAAAAATTGATACTAAACAAGATCCGTCTCTCCGACCTCAGCCTCCTTTGATCACTCCCCAATTTTTTTTAATTAAGTATAGAAACCTCGTCGAACATATACATAATACTAGGTCAAAATGTTACGCGGTTACTCATTAAAGTCGCAATTCCGAAAGCTTCTTACCTATCTTTTTCCAGTCTTTTTTGTTTTATTTATCCGTATATGAAACACACATTGAACACAAAACTTAAACTCGTTGGCGATATTGCATTAAGCAACAAACGCGTATAACAGAAACGAACCCTTAACACAAACGCTTCTTTAAACTTCGACTGACACGTGAAACAACCCGCATTCCTACGAAAGGCAGGTAAACCAAGCAGGTCAAATTTTAAGCTACCCTCCAGTGTCGTCATAGGTTGGGGCATAGTAAATAGCGAATACAACAAAGCGGTAATTTATAATAATTTAATGTGCATTTTATTTAACTTAAGTTGTTTTGTAGAAAATGAGATATTTCTACAATTAATCAATATACTACGAGTACTTTTCCGCTTAATTACTATTTTTGAGAAACAAAAGGAAACGTTAGATTCCATTCAAACTTTTTCGGTTTTCATGATATCTCGCGTTTATTTAGAAGCTAATGGCCTGTGGCCTTAACCAGACGTTTCCAAAGCCTGGTTCTTAACAAACACGAAAAATATAGTTATATTGCCACCGAAAATCTGAATTTATGTTTAAAAATGTAACTTCCCGTATTTAAACTATTGCCTGCATTGGCGCCTATATTTTATAGTTTTTTTTTTATCCTATTTTTTTTTGTTTTGTTTGCAAATGTGTCCATTTTTCGGGTACTGGATTTTTTTTTCTCAAATTATTACAAATTACTCAAAACGGAGTTAAAAAGAGACGAGGAGAAAAGGGAAGAACCCTTATTTCTCCGACACTGACCTCCGATGTTTATAAAAATTGACGCCTTGACACCCTCCCCGTGAATATTTTACAAAGGATTTTTAAAATTTAACTTCCAAATAACGCATACTCTCGCCTAGTGTCACAGTTTTGGGCCCCATTTTGCTATGGTTAGACAGGTTTATTCTTGTACATTGTCGGGACAAAAGAAGCATCTCCTTCATCCAAATTGACTTTTTCATACCTAATACAACAGCTGCCGGGCATCATCTCGCCTTAATTGTTTCTATTGAATTAATTTTAGTTACAAAAAATTAGATGATCGTCAAAATTGGCATAAAAAGATAATCAAGATTTAATTAAAACAAGAATATGCACAAAAGAAAAGAGATAAACTCCGACACGGGAAACAAGGAAATATCGCTGAAACGGCAACTGATCTAGCGCGCGCCTTTTTTAAAAATAATAATTTTTCAAAAGAATTCTAGGCTAAGCTAAATACCTGGTGCAACAAAATATTGAAGGATCTTCATGATCCTACCTGTGAGCGAGTAGAAAATTATTTGCAAAGAGGATAAAGGTATATCTTAATATAAATAGTTTCACTATTGATAATATGTCCCCTTTTAAAATGGCGCATTATTTGATACGTACTTTTTTTTCTTGTCAGAGCTTGTCTAAAACAAAAGCGGGATGGATGGAGGTTCTCCGTCAGGTTTTTTTCCTGTCGAAACAAGTTTGTGCGGCGTTCGCTTTGGATCTGGGGAATGGGGGGGGTTATACATATATAAGCTATAAGAAATTTTAATTTTTTATTCAGTTTCCACTCATACAATTTCGTGATAAGTGCAGAGTGAGAAAAATGTCCGAAGTCGAAAATTATCCAACGCAAGCATTGGATTCGTGGGGAAGATTTGTGGTCAATGCGGAAATAACCCGCGAACAAAAATACATTTACGAGGTAGCAATTACGCTGCCGGAATTCGGACTAGAAATTACCTCAGGTCTTAGCCCAGCAAGAATCTTCGCTCCGGCAGTGAAAGTGAGCTTTCTCCCCTACGTTTTGTCGGAGAAAAGAAGCATTTCGTTCGACGAGATAGACTTCACAGAATTAATACAACAGCTTCCACTGTTATTGTTAGCAGGTCCGACTGGTAAAGTTATGTATTTAACCTGCTTCAAACTCAGCTGTCTACAATGTGATGGTGAAGTCTTGGTCAAGATTGAAAATAACGAGGGTATACTCTATATTTCGAAAGACTGGGTACAGGAATTTATTACCATAAGCAAATTGGTATTTAAAAGAATACGAGTACTGTCTCGTTTGAACTTTTACGAGTACTACGATAGAATATTGTATTTGACTATACATGAAAATTTGCTGGAAGACGCCAAAATCTTTCCGCATATAGAATATTTATGTTCTACAGAAGAGAGTGAGCAGAGCTACTGCATGGAGGACTACATGCGTTTTGGAAAAATGCAGATAAAACAAGATATCAACAAAAGGATAGCATGGGACATACCTGTGTTTTAATAGAAATTTACCTGTAAACTAATAATAATAAATGTTTTTTTAAAATTCAGTCTGTGTGTATGTTTTATCCTTACCCCCATAATAAATAGTAAAAAAAAAACAAGTAATTGCGTAAAATAACTTTATTAAAGAAAAAAAAAATAACAACAAAATATAATCAAACAAAACATAGTACCACTGGAATGAAACCTTCAGAAATTACCCCAACAACGGAGATTCTCGCACATAATTTACCAAAAAAAAAATTTGCAGTGGAAAAGTCAAAGTTCAAAGCTGGCGATGCAGTGAGCATAATTCGCACAAAATCGGTTTTTGACAAAAGCTATGAAATTAATTGGACACCCCGAAAATTTCAAGATTGTTAAAGTAAGTGGTTCCTTCCCTCTTACGTATATTTTGGAAGATATGGAGGGGCGTTAAATCAAAGCTTCGTTTTATGAAGTCGATTTACAAAAACCGTACTACCAAATAGTCGATATCGACTATTTGGTAGTACGGTTTTTGTAAATCGACTTCATAAAACGAAGCTTTGATTTAACGCCCCTCCATATCTTCCAAAATATACGTAAGAGGGAAGGAACCACTTACTTTAACAATCTTGAAATTTTCGGGGTGTCCAATTAATTTCATAGCTTTTGTCAAAAACCGATTTTGTGCGAATTATGCTCACTGCATCGCCAGCTTTGAACTTTGACTTTTCCACTGCAAATTTTTTTTTTGGTAAATTATGTGCGAGAATCTCCGTTGTTGGGGTAATTTCTGAAGGTTTCATTCCAGTGGTACTATGTTTTGTTTGATTATATTTTGTTGTTATTTTTTTTTTCTTTAATAAAGTTATTTTACGCAATTACTTGTTTTTTTTTACTATTTATTATGGGGGTAAGGATAAAACATACACACAGACTGAATTTTAAAAAAACATTTATTATTATTAGTTTACAGGTAAATTTCTATTAAAACACAGGTATGTCCCATGCTATCCTTTTGTTGATATCTTGTTTTATCTGCATTTTTCCAAAACGCATGTAGTCCTCCATGCAGTAGCTCTGCTCACTCTCTTCTGTAGAACATAAATATTCTATATGCGGAAAGATTTTGGCGTCTTCCAGCAAATTTTCATGTATAGTCAAATACAATATTCTATCGTAGTACTCGTAAAAGTTCAAACGAGACAGTACTCGTATTCTTTTAAATACCAATTTGCTTATGGTAATAAATTCCTGTACCCAGTCTTTCGAAATATAGAGTATACCCTCGTTATTTTCAATCTTGACCAAGACTTCACCATCACATTGTAGACAGCTGAGTTTGAAGCAGGTTAAATACATAACTTTACCAGTC